TCCATTGAGGACCTCCATTTATTTTCTTTTTGTAATTGTTGCCCTACCCAATGCCTGTTTTGTAGTAATATAAATAAATATTCAACTTGAAAGATATTATTTTTCATTGTGAAAAAATGAATGATATTATTTTGATTATTTTTTAGAAAATATAATCAATCATGTCCTGTTTACATGTCAGTATTGGACCTGGAATTGCAAAATTTGACTTGTGGTTCCATTCACAGTCTGTTTGGACGTTTTTGATTCTGGATTTTTTATTTCGACGCTAAGTCCATATTTTTTTTGCGGGAACACTTGTATTACTCAAGTAATAATGTCTTTACAATCATCAAGGGAAATACCCAAGACTTCGTCTGGACCAGACCCCAACCAGGTCATAGTTCGCCCCTCAACACGAGCAAATCTAGCCAAACTATCATTAGCTTTATTCTGGTCTCTCACAACATGAGTAATACAAGTTTGTCTAAGGCGCATAAGAAGCCTTATTTCATTCACCAAAGCAGCATAAATTGATTGGTCGACTCCAACAGAAGTTAGCATGCCCACTGCCATGCTTGAATCCGTCTCGACAACAACGGGCAATTCGGATCTTTGTATCGTTAGAGATAAACCTTCCATGATTGCCCCTAGTTCCGCTTCAACCGCATCTCTGCAAGAAAATAACGCTCTGCATGCCGAAAAGATGATCCCCCCAGTAGAGTTTCGCAGGATCATGCCAGCACCCGCATTGTCAGAATCAACAAAAGAGCCATCTGTGTTCAGTTTTATCCAACCCTCGTCGGGACGCTAATTCCATGTTGTATTGTGATAACCTCTATTCATTTTTAATGGTTTTCTCTATTTTACTTCTACAATTTTGTTTTCATATCCGGAACCCTGGCCGTGCCACAATTTGGAACAGTACTGATCGCGAGGAGGACATGTACAGAGGTTGCTAAGAGCATCTCCAACAGCTGCCCTAAGATAGGGTACTGGAAAAACTGTTGAAGGCAACCATTTTTTTCTTCTTGTCTACAGCAGCCCTAAAAAAGGGCACCACTACTCCAACGACTGCCCTGAAATGGGGCACACGAAACAACCAAACTAACTTGATGTTGCAAATTTGATCCAAACATTCAAAGTTTTAAACATGCAAACTTAACATAGTTTGGCTACAAACTTAAACTTAAACTACATAACTACTCCTCTTCACTAAGATTGTCATAGTCAAGGTCGTCATCCTTGTTGGGCTGATCCTCGTCACCCGACTCGACCTTGATCACCCTTGACGAGGGGCCAACCTCGTCCTCCTTTGCCGCTTTCTTCACCACCTTGTTGCGCCGCACCTAGGACTCTAACTCCGCTTGTTGAGGTCCGGATTTTCTACGGCGAACCTCCCCATAGTTGTCTCATCGCTCTCAGCCTCTCACGTATGTCGTGTTGCTCTAGGGTGACACAAGTTTCCCTTTTCTCAACATGGGACACAATCTCCACTTCGGGGCCGGTGAACACCTCCACCTTCGGGATTCAAACCAATGTTGCTGCTCGTCGCATGTCAGCCCAGCAATGCAGCGGCTGGATTGCCCATAACCGAACGCAATGAATGTCGTCTGTCTCTTTCGCTCGGGGCACGACGACGGG